GAGACAGTTGTAAGCACTGTGTAACTGCCTCGAGGGTGCTTGACCATTTTAACACAACGTGGTGCGATCATCCCCCTTGCGCGGAGCGGGTTCTCGACCCCGCACAACATGATCTACTCGACACCCATTATGTTTACCGCCAAAAAAAAAACCAGAGGTAAAAAAAAAAAAAGGTAACCTGGTTGCCGAGTTCACGAAGTGAATTGGCTTGTTTTACAACGTCGTTGCCAAGCGACGAAAACCCAACCCCGACGGCAAACACCGGGGGGGGGAAATTGTAGACAAAGAAACATGCCTCCTGAGAGAGAACCGAACCCGCAACCTTATAGTTGTAGGTTCGCGAGGTCAACCGCTGTCGTAGACCACCGGGGTGACCATCAGATGTATCGAAGACAAGTTTTCTTCAGCGCGCCCACCACACACGTTGAATATGGGCTAACAAGAGACGGGTCGAGAGCGGAGAGAAGCTTCAAACCCTGCACGGTCCGTCGCTGCTCGTCCGCCGCGTTTGTGCTCTCGCCCCTCGCTTCAACACCCTGCCGAAAGCCCAGTCGCTGAGCGCTGCCCTGATCTGATGCCGGTATTTGTTGCCGGCATTGGACCCAACAGACCTTGCTGCGACCGTGGTTTCTGTCGGCCAAGACTTCTGTTGTATTAAAGTTTATTTTTGTGCCAGCCAATTCGGCTCAGGGTTGAATACCTCTGAGCTCGAGAAAACGTGCTTCATTTGGCCAGATTATAGATTATGGTACGGACGTGTTGATGATACGGCCGCTGCGTTTCAAGAACGTGCGCCGGCAAACGTATTGTAGTTTCTCCGACAGCTTTTCATCCATACGGCGACCGGACTTTCTTTTTTTCGGTTATTATCCCGTCGCACGTCCGAAGGTTCGTATCTTTTGTAGCACGACTCCGGTCCGGCATCATGTCGTCCCCGGACTCTCTTGCGTTGAAACGGGTTCTATTGTTGCGTGTCACTTGGGTTTCCCCACCGCCGACCCGACACCACAAGCGTTGTCGTGATGATCCTAATGGTACAAGGAAACAACAAACGTGAGGTTGGTTTCCGACCCCCGCGCTGTGGGTTGTGTTCGCTTGGCAACGGCGTTGAAAATCACGCCAATCGCTTGGTGAGCTCGACAACCAGGTAACATTTTTTTGTGTCGCCTTTTGGTTTGTTTCTTGTCCCGGTAGCCATGATGGTGGTGCAGCAGATCATGCTACGCGGGTCGAGAACCCTCACTCCGGGCAATAGGGGATGATCGCACCACGTTGAGATAAATCGGTCAATCATCCTCGAAGCAGTTACACAGTGCTTTTTTCTGTCTCTGGAAGTGGAAGCACCGGAAAATTCGATATGTCATTCGCAGCTTTCACTAGAATGCAAGGACGTAAGCACAAGAGATGTCGAACACGATTAGCTGCATGCAGCGCACCCTCCATGCGACTCGCCGAATACCTCGCAGCGCTTCGCGCTTGGTGATGTGATGCGCTAGCCTGGTCCGTTGAAACCCTGACGTGCTCCGTCCCGGCTTTGCTGGGATGCGAGGTCAATGGTCTAACGACTACCCCATGCACGGCTATGATTACAAATACCCCACAATGACCGATGTATCATCGTCACTGCTCCATGCCTCTGAGCGTCATGTACACGGCTGCGTATCCGAAATGACAAGACTTGTCACAACCGGTGTTTTTTTTGCTATACTTGGTTCTGCCCCGCCCCGACCCCTGTACATACACCGGCATTTCTTGTCCTCCTCTTGTGTCACCGAGGTTGCAGTACCATGTTCTTGTCCGTGGCCGGCATATGCGCGTGTAGCACGGGTTAATGAGCAAGGCCCTTCGCTTCGTTGTGGCGATAACGTGCTGGCCATCACGAGTCTAGCAAAGGGATACGATGAGTTGGAGTTGCGAGTGAAAGCGTCTGCAGAACATCAACCGCACACGAATGTAGCTGGTGTCTCTCTTCGCGGTAGTATCATTTCTCCGCCTGCACGGGAATGAACGTCAGGTGTTAAGAGTGAAAGGAGAGCAAAAAATGTAGTCCCTCACACGAGGGTGTTAAAAAGACAAGCGAGCCGTCTTCTCTTACCCGCCAGACCGTTGGTTTACGTGATAAGCCAAGGATGTTGTGTCAATTGAAGACAAGCATGTCGCAGGGGCCATCGCCACGGCTGTCGATCTAAAGATTACACGGTGAGTCGATCTGCCGATTTGCTCCTGCCGCTCGTCCTTTTGAGGGTGTGTGATGAGGTGAGCTGTAGTATCCTCCACCGATGGCCCCGGAAAGAAGTAGCGGGATGTCCCTGACAATGTGTGTTGCGTTTGCTGCCCTCACTGCTGGACCTTAAGGAACACAAGGAGGACGCGCCCCCCGTGTACATGAAAGTCATCCAGCTCCAGGAGAAAGCGCTGGGTCCTGAACACCCGGTGTTTGGACGATGCCTTAAAAGCTCGGCGGATGACTTAGCAGCAGCGGTGAGTAGCGCTTTTCCTGCTGGATGCGGCTCCTTCGACGAAGGGGTTACCGCTGGTGTTACGTATGTCATGTCGAGCATGTCGTCGGGACCATCGTAATGACCGCCAACCGTCACCTTTGAGTGGGGTCCGCAAAGTGCCGAGTTACGCCTGTCGCAGGTCTGTGAAGGTGTGATGCGTTGACCTGCGCCCGGATCTTAACACACCAATGGCCCTGGAAAAGAGGTGTAGTTGACAACGGTTCCCTGTCGGTGCCACCCTTGAAAATCAGTTGAAATACGACGAGGCGGACGCCCTGTACCTGAGAGCTACAGAAGTCCTGGAGAAAGCGTTTGGCCCCGACCACCCAGAGGTTGCCAGGGTCCTCAACAACCGGGGGAACGTGGCAGCAGCGCAGGTGAGATGCTGTCTCCCGATAGGCGTGATCGTCAGTGTAAGTCTCAGATGTGTTGTGTCGAGCCAACCATGTCGTCGGGGCCATCGCCGCAGCTCGGTAGATCTACAACCTCCATGGTGTCGCCACAGGTTGCGCCAGCCATGAGTAAATCTTCACCCATGCGGTTGCGGAAAGGGTAGCGAAACGCTGTTGGCGTATGCTGCTTTCCTCACTCTCGTCTACCGCACAGGGCAAGCATGAGGAGGCGGCCCCCTTATGCAAGAGGGCCATCGAGATCCTGGAGAACGCCTTCGGCCCTGACGACCTGGAGCTTGCATCAACCCTCATGAACCAGGGGGATGTGCTACGGGAACAGGTGAGAATCCATGCCTTGCTGGGAGTATCCGTCGATTCGGTTCGCAACTGTTATTGTGTGGAGCATGTCGTCAGGGCCATCGCCATGACGACTGTCCTCCTGAAAAAATGAATGTTGTCGCCAAAGGTCCGAGTTGCAACTGCCGAGGGTCGTTGATTCTTTTGCTGTGGTAATCTGTGCGTGGATCTTCATCGGCCACGTGAAGGAACCTAATGGGGTGTGGTTGACAACATCTGCCGTGCGTCGCTGTCCTTCCGTCGTACAGGGCAAGCATGAGGAGGCGGACTCCCTGCACCAGAGAGCTACCGCCATCCAGGAGAAATCGGTTGGCTCCGACGACCCTACGCTTGCTGAAACCCTTAACGACCAGGCGAACGCGCTGCAAGCACAGGTGCTCCACCCTCCTCTATGATCAAGCCTCATTTTATCCGTGCCAATCCCTTTTTTCACACCTCCTGTTCGACGGATGGCGGTGCGTCGTCCCCAAAGTGTCTCTTCGGGAGGTTCCCCATGTATCTCCATCCTCTTCGACAAGCAGCCCGGCGGGCACGTACCCGGAGCCGTCATGATCTTCTCCCGTATCACCAGTGCTTCCATCCTGTGTAACTAAGTGCCAGACAGCATGGAACATACTTTCGAAAGCAATCTTAACTCGTAATCGGAACAGATACGAGCGCCCAAAGGGCTTCCCATTCCTCCTCGGAGGTCATATTTTGGACGCTGTAGTCGTAGTCCGTATGTCTTACGTCTGTGAGATCACTTGTCCATGTTGTCGGAGTCTGTCTCGACTTGTCTTGTTGGTATGGCCGTCACACTGCCTCCAGAACCCATCGCGACAAGTCCTTACCAGATACACCTTGTCGATGCCATCAAGACTGCTGTGTCCCTGCAAGGGCTGGTGGCACGTTGACGTGATCAAGCACAAACTCCTTGGATTACTACCGGAGAAAGTGACACCACGAAGCGAAACTGAGCAGGATCCCGCGTGTCCTCCAAAACACAGCGTACACACCCTACGATGATATCCATACCACGGAACATTCCGTCTTCGCCGACAAGAAGGCACGTGTCGCGGGAGTTCGAACTTCCTGCCTCACCCATGTATTCTTCCTATTCACCCAGTTTGGATGGGTGTCGGTTGTATAGGATTGGTATCCTATTGTTGCAAACACTTTCGATTTCTGTGTGAACCGTGGGTATCTTGTAGCAGTTTCAATCCCAATTTTTTCGTGTTGAAAACATATTCTGTGTTGTGCGGGCTTTGTGTCGCAGTCTCAAGCCCCCACGATGCGGACGTGTAAGATTAACGTTTGACCATAACAAGTCCTAAAAAATATTGCAGGTGTAGGCTTTGATATACGCCCGACCATGTACTATCTCATCGGAATGTATTTGATTGTAGATGCGGACGTGTAAGATTAACGTTGGAGCATAAAAAGTCCTAAAAAATATTGCAGGTGTAGGCTTTGATACACGCCCGACCATGTATTATCTCATCGGAATGTATTTGTCGGTATCCGCTCATATTGCACGAAGTCCTACACAATAGACCCTCGCCCGCGGATCGGTCATTCGACGTACCCTCTCGCCGTAAAATGACCCTATAAGAAGTTAAAAGACCTTCACCTATTGGTCTACCATTTCGCCCACCTTTTGGCCAAAGCCTAAAGGTGTGTGGATGTGATTTCACACCGGTTGGGTTGTTGCTACCCTTGCTGTACCTCTTTCGTGCAGGGCAAGTACGAGGAGGCGGGGGGTTTGTACCTGAGAGCTGTCGAGATCCTGGAGAAAGCGCTTGGCTCCGACCACCCGAAAGTTGCCCAAAGCCTGAGCAACTGGGGGATCATGTTAGACACGCAGGTGATAGCCTGTTCCCTGGTAGGCGTCATTGTCCATCGATGGGTCTCAGCTGTTGCATGTCGCGTCAAGGATGTCGTCAGGACCATCGCCACGGCTGTCCATCTGCAGGGCACATGGTGCCGCCAACGAAAGTATCGAGTTGCATCTGCTGCGGGTACTTGAGGGTTTTGGTGAGAGTTGTGCGACTGTTTTCACCAACCGCTGCGGAAAGGAACGTCTGGGACGTCGCTAGTAACATCTGCCGTGCCTTTTGCTGTCCCTGCCGGACATCGCCGTTCAGGGCAAGTACGAGGAGGCGGGCGCCTTGTACCTGAGAGCTATAGCCATCGAGGAGAAAGCGCTTGGCCCAGACCACCCGACTCTTGCTAAAAACATCAACAACCGGGCGAATACGTTACAAGAACAAGTACGAGTATTTTCCTGGGTACGCGGCTCTATCGTTATCCCTTTCAGGACGCCAATAATCAAGGACACCCCCGCGTTTCGGGTCCTATTTTTTGGTTCAGAAGCACGCCTGTCTCCTGTAGTAGTTTTTGAATCCTACGTTTTCGCGGCGATCTGAACTCCACCTCACGACTAGCACTTAAGCCTACCGTGGAGGAGGAGTAGTTCAAGTATGGCCCGCACGTCTTAACGGGATTGTTGCGGTAAGCTTCCTGCGAATCTTCACCGATGGCTCCGAGAAAGGTGGGATGAGATTGGCAACGGCTCCGTATTTGTACAGGGCAAGTACGGAGAGGCGGACCCGCTGTACAAGAGAGCAATCGACATCAACGAGAAAGCGCTCGGCCCCGAGCACCCAGAGGTTGTTAGAAGCCTGAACAACCGGGTGACGGGGCTGGAAGCACAGGTATTGCGGCCGTCCCTTGAAGTGTCGACCCGGTCGGTGCACCGTGGTCCGGGAGGGCAGACGTACCTTTCTAGCACAGCTTTTTCGGGGCATCTTTACTGCTGAGGTCCGGCCATGCAGCGACCGGCGCCCGAATGTGCTGAATAGGTTGCCCCGTGACTTGGAAGGGTTCGGTGAGCCGTAGCAATTTCGCAGTCGGCCCCATGAAGGGAAGTAGTACTGGGTTGTGTGATTGATATGTGTTTCACACGCATGGGCTTCACTTGATCTTTCGCTTTTTCGTGTGCAGGGACACTACGAAGAGGCGGATGCCCTCCGCGTGCGCGTAATCGAGATCGAGGAGAAAGAGCTCGGCTCCGACAACCCGAAGCTCCCTAGAACCCTAAATAACCGGGCGAGATCGTTGCAAGCACGGGTGAGCCATGTTGCCTTTTAAGCCACCTCAATTCGGCGTGCATGGAACAGCTGGTGTTGGGCCAAGTAAGGGCAAGCACGTCTTCAGGCTGTCCGCCAATGCCGTCCAATATCTGCTGGTTGCACAGTATCGCCAACGTGGCGAGTCACACCTGCCGCAGGTCGTTGAACGCTTGATAAGCTGAGTTCGTACGTGAGTCCTCATCAATTCATGACGGAAACAATAGCGGGCTGCAGATGACCACCCTTTGCCGCATGCATCTTCCTTTCAGGGCAAGTACGAGGAGGCGGACGCCTTGTACCGGAGAGCTGTCGATATCTACGACAATGCGCCTGGTCCTGACAACCGTGAGGTTACCATAGCCCTGAACAACTGGGGCCTCATGTTACAAGCACAGGTGCCAGCCTGTTCCCGTTTAAGCAATGTCGTCGATGTATCGATCTAGGACGTTATTGAGTGGATTGGAGCATGTTATCTCATCACGACCATCGCTACGGCTGTCGATCTGCAGGCAGACGGTGCCACCAAAGTGCCAAGTTCCAACTGCCGTATGATTGTTGTGAACTATGCGCAAAATCTTCACATGGCTACTTAAACGGTAGTGGGATGCTGTTTGACAACTTTTCTCGATATACTTACCCCCCTCACCGTTGAACCCTTTCGTTCGTACAGGGCAAGTACGAGGAGGCGGACTCCTTGTACCTGAGGGCCATCAACATCTCTGAGAAATTGCTCGGCCCGGACGACCTGGAGGTGGCCAAGTCCATCAACACCCGGGGTAACTTGGCAGCAGCACAGGCGAGAGCTCACTCCCTGCCGGAGGCCTCCTAGAAGCAGTTCGTAGAAGCAGCTAAATAGCTGTTGCTGTGTGAAGTTGAGCCAAGCGCATGTCGGCGGGGCCATGACGACGGCTATGGATCTGAGGGTTGAATCGTACCGCAAAGGCGCCGAGTTGTGCCTGCCGCAGGCGGTTGGAGGGTTTGGCGTGCTGAGGAAGCTGTGATTGAGTCTTCATCGGCTACGGAAAGGGTAGCGGAATGTGGTCGACAGCATATGCCGCGTGTTTGCTGCGCGCCATGGATACCCCCATGCAGGACAAGCACGAGGAGGCGGACGCCTTGTACCTGAGGGCCTTCGAGGTCAGGGAGAAAGCACTCGGTCCCGACGACCCTAGTCTTGCTGAATGCCTGAACAACCGGGTATTCGCATTGCTTGCACAGGTGACTCCCCGTTCCGTGATTTCGTTGTCATTGGTGGGTTTTGCCGGCCAGGTTCACGCAACTCGCACCAGAGGGTTAGGGGCGGACTTGATGGAAGACCGTCCTGCCAGGCAGACAGCAAACTCGCCATTTTAAGGCGTTGTCATTAACTTTTAACCCGCATCGCCGAATTCCTTGTGGATGATGCCCCACCTCATCCTATCCGCAAGCTATGAGCCTCAAAGAGAAGTGGCTTGACCCACACCACCCCAGGCCATGGCAGAACCCCTCCATTCCATACCCAGCCACGGATATTGGCTGTACAGGTGATAGTTCCCTCCGGAGTCGAGTTTCGTTGGCGATCACATTCCGTTCATGAAGTCCCCCCAATGCAGTATGTTTCCCGCCAAGCACCCGTCCCACTTACGTCCCCGACATACCTACGAAAGTTTGAGGATTCTTCCAAGGCGCGCTGTATTTTTTGGGTGCGCATCGCCCGTTCCGTGTTGTTTCTTGAAGCGAATTGATCGATCCTGTGATATTGAGCAGCGGTATGCATACCCATGTCAAGCCCCTTCGAGTGGGGCCGGCATATGGGAACGCGTACTACTGACATGGTTTGTACAAAACCCATAGGATCCACCCTCACGGGCCCCGCTTCGCTTCTCCCTCGTGCACCGCCTTCTGCAGGGGAATCACGCCGAGGCGAAGCCGCTCTTGGAGCGAGCCCTAGCCATTCGGCGGAACGCGCTCGGGGACGAGCACGAGGATACGATATCCTCTTCGAAAGCGCTGAAGGCATTGAATGCCAGCCAGGGATAAGGGAGTATAAGTGGATTGTCGGCCACGGCCGTCAACGAACGCACCGCACCTGCGCAAGCAAGCGCTGGTGACCGGGGCCACCTGCGCAGTAAAACGTTGGCTCTTGGGCCCTACGATGACATTCTAGAGTGTCAAGCGTTCTCTGATGAACGCGTTCGCACTACAGAAGATCATTGGCGTCTGAGAGCACCTTCCCGCACAGCGACACCACGGCAAAGCAATCACAGAGTCCGGGTGCTCTTTATGAGTTGATGAGAATACTTTCAAGCATGCGCCAGGGAGCAAAATAGAATGGGATCTTGTGGTGCGTTGGCTGTTTTGTTGGGGGGGGTACCAGGGGGTTAGTCCGGGTGCTCTTTATGAGTTGATGAGAATACGTTCAAGCATGCGCCAGGGAGCAAAATAGAATGGGATCTTGTGGTCCGTTGGCTGTTTTTTTTGGGGGGGTACCAGGGGGTTGAAGTGAACAAGTATTGGGTGGGGACCTCAACAATGGTCGCGATATCGTCATGAGCTTCCTCCTGGTTTGGCTGGAAGGCAAGGAGGAGGCGTGGATGCTTGAATGATATCTCTTTCCCTGCGTTTTCTGGTTTATTCTGCGTGTGTGCCGCTGTCTGTGTTCGAGCGTGCATGGTGTACATGGCAGTCTAAATAGCCCTACGGCGAGTGATGCTGATTCCGAGCGTTCTCTGCTGGAGCCGATTCTTCTCACGGAGGCGGTCTGTCTTTCGCGATGAGCCATTGCATAGTAGCGCAAAGGCGGCAAGCCTATCGAGTGGTTCGGGGTGCCTGGAAGGCCAAGCCTGCTGCTTGTTGCTGCCGTTCGTTGCAATCGAGTATATTTTTTTCTACGTGTCTAGAAACAGAATGCACGTGGACATGTATCCTTCCTGGTAGACTATGATGTTTGTTGTGGTGTGTTAGGCTGGGACGCAACCTGAATGAGGAGCTTCAAAGCAGAAATCGCTGAACCCCTCCTAGGAGCACAGCGGGCTAGAGCTCGACGAAGGCCCGGTATTTGCATCCACCGGAGTGTGCGTTTATCTGCAAGTACGAAAAGTTTTGTGTTGGATTTGCTTTTTTTCTGCCGCGCTTCTCGTGTCGTAGAGCTTTCAATTGGTCGCGCTTGCGTGAGGTGAGGGTATCAACCACATTACCCTTGTCAGGAGCCAGGTACTCCGCGTGACTCAAGCGAAGTCTGACAGCAACCTCCCACGCGGGAGAGATCAAGATTGAGCCCGCTGTCCTCTATTTGAGCTCAGAACGACCATTACCGCACATCAGAGGGAGGAAGGACGGAGGCCAGAGGCTTTTTTCGGGCCCTATGCGGCATTTTTTTTTTGGTTGTGATGCGGCCATGATTAACTCGGCTGAGCGTGTCCCCGGGCCTCTCGCTGTTTGCCTCTCGTTGTGGCCGAGCGGAAGTGCGTCGTGATTGTCATCCTACTCAACAATGCTTGGGTAACAGCAAATTTCTGCTTCAAACGAATGATGATCTACAAAATTGTCCTTAGGAACCCTACACTCGAATGTTAGGCTCTCGGCGTGGGGGGTAAGGGAGATGTGGGTTTAATAGCCATGTTTTCTTATTGCTACCGTTTCAATTGCTCGGGTTTCTCTGCTGGTGGGGGGGCTGTATTCTACCTGTAGTCGACATGTTGTGCAGAGATTATCAAAGGCCGCATTGTAAGCAGATTAGCCGCGGACCGGCGATAGATAGGGCAAGAGGCGCACGCCAATGGCGTATCGTTCATTCGATCGAGGGTGCTACATAGTGCGTCGCATTCGAGCACGCTGTGTGATCGATAGCACATGTCTTGTTGGCGATACGTGGTGAAAGGGACGTGCCACCCTACTTCGACATTTTTTTAGTCGACGGCCCCCCCTTGACAGATGCTACAGTGTACTACGTGGTTTGCGAACCCTCCGCACTCGTCCAGCTTGTAGCACGCAACCTACTGTTCGCACACATCTTCGGAGATGTCCGATTGTCTTGAGACCTTTGTTTTCGTATCTTTTTACTCCTATATATTTACTAGTTTTATGTATATATTTTTTCCGTTGTTCGCGAGTGTGGGTTGTTTCAGGTCCTTTCCTGCCTGGTCTTCGCATGTCTATACGCGGTCTATCCCCTTTTGACTCAAACTCGGGGAGGGATAATGGTTTGCGATGCCCTACCGAACCACCTTAGGCGCGACAAGATTTGCACTGTAGTTCGAGATCGGCATTTGAGACCGGGTCGGGCCAGGGTGGGGCTATGCGAATGAAAATGACACGGACAGAAAAAGTGAACATCGGTCGACAGAGACCCAAAGCTCTAACGAGCTTGGAAATTGCGTCAGGGCCTTAGTGCGGTAGGTGCGAATTAATGAATCATCCTGGGGGTGGGGTTTGGACACTCCCCTGCTGTCTCTTCTGGGTAGGGGACTAGGGATCCGCGAAAGCGAGAACGTTCATCGATGACACTTTCTTTTTTTGTTTGTTATTCTCCCATCATCGGACTCTGTCGTCTGCCCCTCTGGCCCCTATCCTCCACTTCTACCAGCTAGACGACCCAACCGGGGTCACATAGGAGGGGGGGGGCTGGACCCCCTCCTGCAGTTCCTGCCTGAGACGTTTTTATCGCGACAAGGGTACAGCAATCCCTTCCCTGTAGTACAATGAATATTTCGAGGACTGGCGTCAGCGCCGCGAAATACCTAGTGATAGTCGGTGCATGCAGGTCCACATCAGAGGCAATCAATGCTCGTTAGTCTCACACAAGAAAGTCGACCTGAGCGTGGGTTAGTACGTGTTTCGTTCCAATAGGGAGGGGGCGTTACCGCGAGGCCACTGTGGACTGTGATCGCATGAGACCGACAAAGATCGAGAGATTGAGTGAGTCGGGCGAAAGCATATTCAGCGGAAGCGCCAGCCACAGCATGATCAATGAAGGACGGCCCTTCGATCCGAACGCGAACCAAAAAGCGAGAACCAACCTGTTTGTCACAGCTCCAGGAAACAAGGGCGGAGAGACGGACGACGACTCAAGCACCACTGCAGCAACCATGATGCTGCTTCAACTATGTGCTGGAGTGTGCACCTGGGTTACATTCCAGAGCAATATAGCGCGTCAGTACCACATGCAAAAAAAAAGTCTGCCAGGGGTGCCGTGTCATGAAGTGATCTTGTCCACAGCAAGCAAGCCACGCTGTGTATCTGTTCCTCACCAACGGATTGTTCGATTCATTGCTCGTCGCAACCACCGTACGTCCGATATTTTTCCTCTGCTCACAACCACACCAACTCTAGCAAGGGCCGTACGAAAGTGAAGTGGCTCCGAGAGGTCGCGCAAGGCTGGCGGCCGGGCAGTCGAAACACGGTTTTGCTCTGGGCTGCTTAGACTGAACCAAGACATGCCGCCAGAATGTCCCTTCCGCCTTACGCACGGCTTACGCGAAAGCAGCAAGCAGATGAAAGCAAAAAGTGCGTCTCTATAAAGCAATGCTGCTACTGATAGGCACATCCTTCTCGGCGGCACACACCAAGTCCCTTGTTACACCTACTTACACCATCCACAAGGGTTCACGCACGAAGAAACACGTTCATACCTTCGTTGGGTATCCAAAGAGGAACTCGAAGGGAGGTCGTTCCAAAAACGAGAAAAATTTGACTACGAAAAAAGCACAATTATGCTTGTTTCTCCACGCAAAAAGCAGTGCATGACTGATTTGAGTTTCATCGAAGAGGCATCGGCTTCACTTTGTACGTGCATCCCAGTACATGCGACCACAACATGTAGCACGTCACCTCACATGCAGACATTAATGTTGGGGGTTGTTCAATCGCATCAGGGCACTAGGTCTTTGCACTCGCTCTCCTTCAAACCCTGCACTAGATATGCAAAACGTGTGCTTAGGACAACGTTGGTCGTCGGCTTGCATCTTTCGGAGTACACTATCACTCTCTAGTCGCCCCCCGCCAGCCACATATCGCTTTCATCACACGTATCTATCTACAGTACTTCAACCGGGATCCATATAATGTACACGGTCATTCTTCACAGCCACCAAACACACAATACCATCCACCGATCGATGGCACCCAGCGATGTTTGACGCCGCCATAGTTCAGAGCGTTGCCAACCACCAGCCATCGGGGTCAGGATAGACGCGCAGCCTCGGCAAGATCAACAAACCACAACGGCTTCTTTCGACTGGTCTGGACTAGCCAAAAACTGGCACACCCTCGTATCTGCTTCGATAACCAGGCGAATCTTAATCAACCGGCTTGAGTCGAGGGAATGGAGCCTAGCCTAGCACCTCCGAGTGTCGCACCCCCCGCCACACGGACGCCCTTTCTTCTCCAAGTCCTGCTAGCCCCGAATTTGTCCGGCCTCCTCTCCTTCTTTTCCCGTGTCCTTCTCGACAGTAGTCTCTCCTCGTCCGGCCACACAGGCAAAGGCCGGTGACCATAAACAGCTTCCTCTGCCCCCGCCTGCTTTCAGTCCAGTCCATTGTGTAGACCATGGCCTACTTATACTCAAACCGATTCCCTAACCGTTTTCTTCAGCCTTCCTTCTGGCAGAATGAGCCGATTTCGTGGACGTTCGTCTTCCAACCTCAACGAGCGCAGATACCACCGACTCCTTCCTCCTCCTGCTCGCCTGAGCTGAATGTGTGTGGACGTTGGCCTACCAATCTTACCGAGCATACCACCCGACCGACTCCCTCCTCCTCCTCCTCAGCCGGCCCGCGGCCGAGCTCGGCGACGGCGGGCCGTGCACCATGATGTCCGCCCCCACCCTGGCACCGCAGAGCGGTCCCCCCAGAGCGCCCTGTAGCTCCCAGTCCCCGCGGAGACGGTAGGCGGGCCCGCTGCTCCCGTCCCAACCGCCGCCGGACGACGAGGAGGAAAACATGTCAGCGTTGTCATCGAGGCCGGACGTCCCGGGAACTAGTTGCGCCGCCTCAAGGGGGAGGTGTACCTCGCCAACAACACGGTCACCGCGTCCACTGCGGCCCGTTTCGAAGCTGGGCAGTTGAGTTGGCGGCGGGGGAAAGGGGAGGTGGTTAGGTTTGAGGAAGGTGGTGTGTCCAGAAGCAGCTGTGCTAGTTGAACAATTCATGGCTCGGCTGAAACCTCACACGACAACCAAGGGAGCTCCCCCGTCCATCGAGACAAGCACACGGCCATAAAAAATAACTGTAGTGTACAATCCGATTGGAACGCTCCCCTTCGTGGCATGCAGTTTCTCTCTGTCTCTCTTTTGTGCTCTCTCTCCGTCTCTGTCTTTCTGTCTGTCTGTCTGTCTGTCTCCCTCTCTCTCTCCCTCCCCCCTTCTCTCCCTCTCTTTTATCTCATCTCTCCACCAAAAACAACAACAACAACAACAACAACAACACTCTTTCCATTAGTTTCCTCTTGCTCACCTGTCTACAACGGCAATGGTGAGATACGCCCCCCTGATCGGACAGTCGCACCCCAGAGGAAAAACCTCCGTGAACCTCGGAGCGAACCCCTGCCGTGCCGACGTCTTCGCCGTCAAGCCCCCCAGCGATACCGTCACGTAAAACGGGCGAGACGAACCCCCGGCGATAAGCCCGCCGCCACCATCGGCCCCTCCCGCGAAACCACCGCCGGCACCGCCGCCGCTGTTGCCGTTGGAGGGAGGCCGGCCGGTGATGGCGGCATCGAGTCCGGAGCAGTAGATGCTGCGGACCGTCACCTCACCCCGTTCGAACGGGGGGCCATCGTAGCTCTTCTGATGCTGACTAAGCTGTCGTTTTTTCGACAGTTGGCAGGCATATAAGCGGAGAAGGGCGTGCCGAAAAAAAGTGGGTTAGGAGAGCACCAAATGGTGTTTTGAAAAAGAGTGCACCAAAACATGTAAATCAATTTTCGCAATTGCTAACTCTTGGGTCATCGATTGTTCTGGTTGTCTTCAACGTGTGACGGGATGAGATCCAAGCGTACCAAGAGTCCAGGAGCAAGCCGTTAAAACTCTTCCAGAATCGCACTCGACGCCATGCAAGACACATAGGCGGGGCTATGGCCCCTGCAGCAAATTTGGGGACCACTTCACCTGAATAACATCGCCTAAAAAATATATCGTGACACTACGTAGGACAGCACCGGTTGAGTTGCTTTTTTTTTCCAACACACGCTCGGGTAGAGAGGGAAGCTGCAATTGTATAAGGACAACTCCAATTCCACTCTGTAAATGTGACGCTCATGGTCACCGACTCACCGCCATAGCCTCGGAGCAGGTGCGACCGCCTACCCCCCACCCTCCCCCACCCATCAGCGTCTCGTACAGAGACCCAAGCAAGCCATTCGCTCGCGCCCCCCCGCCGCCGCCTCCGCCGCTTCCGTCACAACCGCCGCCCCCCCCGCCCCCGCCGGTGCCCCACTGGTCTATCCTCACCCAGCCGCCGGTGCCGCGCTTCTTGGCCGCGAGGGAGCGCAGGGCAGACATGTAACCGCCCACTGTCCTCCCGGGGGGACCCCGGGAGAGCCGCAGCGACACGTTCGCGTAGGCCAGGACCACGGCCGCCCAAAGCACCAGCTGCGCGCCCGCCGTCAGCCAGCGTGCCCGGGCCACCAGCGCTGCCGCCGCCGCCGCCGCCGAAGCCGAAGCCGCCGTCGCCGCTGCCGCGGCGCTCCTCCTCCGCCCCCCGCCGCCGCCGATCTGACCCAAGACGCGGTGTGGAACGTCGCGGAGCAGGAGCAAGCGGGCCAAGCCGGATCTGGTAGCGGTAGCGGTAGCGGCGGCGGGGGCGACGGTGCTGCTGGCACCCCCGCCCCCGAGGACGTAGGCGCTGAAGAGGGGCTCCAGGAGCAGGGCAGCGAGGGCAACGGCGGCGGCAGGCTTGACGGCCACCGAGGGCTCCGAGCGGATGGTCCTGCTGAGCACGACGAGCAGGAGGCAGGCCGGCCCCACGCCCTTCGTGAGGACGTCGTAGCAGGTGAATTCGCAACCGCCGCCGCCGCCGCCGCCGACATCGTTGCCCGCCAAGCCCCTGTGGGAAAGGGATGACCGAAGTTGGAAATCAACACGAAATGGGTGCTATCAACAATCACAAATTCGGAAGAAACCTAGGGCTGAACTCGGTCTCATTGAGGGCTCCATAGTGCAAGCTACGATGTTCGCCGCTAAGGACAAATACATACCGACCAAAACACGAGCAGGTGTTAAGAGAAGTTCCTGTTGGGTGCTGCACGCCAGAACGTGAGCCCTGCTTCTCAATGGTGGTGTGCACCAATTCTACACTACAACAGGAACAGCGACCATCACTACAATTCACGCCTTGTGTGACCCACTTACCCCGAAATCGTGGTCGAAAGTCGGTCGGCCGCGACGCCGCCCAACACGCCCCCTAAGGTTGTCGCCTGAGTAACAAAAGCGCAAGATAAGACGATGCATTGCGGTTGGTGTTTGTCGGCCGGGTTGGCATGCGACCACCAGCAACCGTATGTGAGTAGGAGGAGAGAGCAAAAGAAAAAATGTAGGGGCGTAGGGGCAGTGCTTGTTTGGCAAACGAGTCGCGGATCATGTGCAAGAAAAAAACACCAAGTACCGCAACTTGAAGTACATTTTCAAAGAGTGGAAAATGAAAGCGCCCCGTCGACGGCAACGGTGTGAAGGTTCCCTGTAAGGCTGGTTCTGTTGTTCTTGTGGGACGAATAAACACAGACAGCGGTCGCCCCTCAGTTCGAACTACTGCTGTATAGGGCTGTGTACTACGGGTTCGCCATGCTGCTGTTTGGTACAATAATATTGTGCGCAGCCTTCACTTCTACTTGGAGAAAACAGTAACACCTGAAAATATTTCATGCTTTGGGGGGGAAACGCGCCCTCATCCCACACCTGAAATCTCGTCCACGAGATCCCTCCTCGCGCGACAAGTATATTTTTACCGTTTGGCAACGGTAGACGGCAGGCGGTGATTACCAAGGCAGCGTTGCCCTTGTTGGGAGGTGAAAATCGCTGACACAGGTTACCGAACCACACATCAGCGACGCTCGTTCTTGTTGCTGTGTCTTCGCAAATTAATAGCATTTCGGTCTGTGCTCAGTGCCTTCCAACATCCGTCCTGGACCATGACTGACGCGGGCGCCTTCCGTGGTCGCATATCCCAGCTTAGGCCACTTGTTACGCTGTCTCTTTTTGGGCTGTCCCTTTTCTCAAAAAGGGACAACTGACCAAAAACCACTTGTTACGTGGTCTTTTTTTTCGTTTTTGAACCTCCCGAAAAGGGCCAGCGAAAAAAGATCACCCCATCCTGTCCCTTTTTGGTAATTTGTCCCTTTTTGAGAAAAGGGACAGCCCAAAAAGAGACAGCGTAACAAGTGGCCTTACACTACTAGTATTATTTTCATATATAATAGAAGTATAAAAATATTACCAGTATTCACCCGAGACACCAAAAAGGTACTTCGTGATAGTTGCTTAGCTGGTTCATGGAGCCACGCCACAAACGGCCGTATCACTGAGCGACGCGATTGGAAACTGTCAGGCTTTCCTCTGTACCCATGGCGTGCCGATCCGCTGTGCGGGATCTAAATACGGGCATAGGGATATCGAAGGGCTTGTGACGAGTGTTCATTGTTCGTGCACCCGCTGTGGGCGTACGTACCACTCATCAATTGCATTAGTACACACACCTTACAAGCACAAGACACGCAGCAAGCACTCACCAGACTCAAAAGCTTGCTGTTTCCGGTGGTCACAGTCCCCACGGCAGCCGGTACGCCTACGCCGGCTCCGGCAAGGAACCAAGGGATGTTGAGGCTGGATGCCCACATCGCTCCGGATCTCAACAGCAGTTGGAGCATTTCGTGATCCTGGGCCATTTTATCCCAGGACAGTTTGATTACGCAAGCCTCACAAGTTCGAAAGTACACGCAGCACAAGCGTGGAAGGTGTGGAGGCTTCTTCTTACTTGGTCTCCTGGGCACCTACGATGGGTTGTAGGGAGACGAGCCGAAAGAGGAGGGGGCGGGACAAGGACAACGGAAAACGCGGTGGAATTTCGATGACCCCGAACCGGCGGCTGCTGCAGAGGCGTTATCTGTCACACACTGCTACGCGCAGCGAAAAAAAAAGAAAATATTTGGCAAACGACGCCTCCAACGGAAACGTGTCCCCCCCCTGGAAACCCTGCCAAGCAAGCGGCGAGACCCGCGCAGTCCTCACCGTACATCAACGTGGACAGTGGGCGAAGCAGGAGCGTAGGCGTCCAGTCTCCGACGAAGGTACGCTGGATTACTCATACACTAGAAGTCGGCGAGACTCTTTGAACCAGTTACGCAGCGTAGCAGTGTATATCCGGAATATACTCTGAGCGTACCAACCAGAAGACAGCCACCGACATCACGTACCCAACAGCAGTAACACCCCAGTCTCTTCATGACCCCGGCTTAATACAGCGACATTAGGCTTTTTCAACGTACTCAGCTTACATTTTCATCTAATGCAAAAATAATGGCTTCATTTGGTGCAGAGACGCCTAAGCATGACGAGGTCAAAGTTCAAATATGTTGTTGGATCCCGTGGATGGTGGCACCCGTAGTCACGGGTGTGGACGACGGTGGGTGCGTGGGTGCGCTTCCATGAGGTTGGCACGATGCAACCAAACCTTGGTTTTTTCTATCGAATATGCTCACGTACCCACCTAGTGCAAAAGGAAATACTTCATTTTGGTGCGAGACACTTAAGAATGACGTNCGTAGGCGTCCAGTCTCCGACGAAGGTACGCTGGATTACTCATACACTAGAAGTCGGCGAGACTCTTTGAACCAGTTACGCAGCGTAGCAGTGTATATCCGGAATATACTCTGAGCGTACCAACCAGAAGACAGCCACCGACATCACGTACCCAACAGCAGTAACACCCCAGTCTCTTCATGACCCCGGCTTAATACAGCGACATTAGGCTTTTTCAACGTACTCAGCTTACATTTTCATCTAATGCAAAAATAATGGCTTCATTTGGTGCAGAGACGCCTAAGCATGACGAGGTCAAAGTTCAAATATGTTGTTGGATCCCGTGGATGGTGGCACCCGTAGTCACGGGTGTGGACGACGGTGGGTGCGTGGGTGCGCTTCCATGAGGTTGGCACGATGCAACCAAACCTTGGTTTTTTCTATCGAATATGCTCACGTACCCACCTAGTGCAAAAGGAAATACTTCATTTTGGTGCGAGACACTTAAGAATGACGTGGTCAATATTCAAATTTGTTGTTGGATCCCGCGGATGGTGGCAACACCCGGAGTCACACGTGTGTAGGGCGGTGGGTGCGTGGGTGCACTTCCATGAGGTTGGCACGAGGCAATCAAACCTTGGTTTTTCTATCGAATATGCTCACGTACCCACCTAGTGCAAAAGGAAATACTTCATTTTGAGAATTACGCGGTCAATATTCAAATTTGTTGTTGGATCCCGCGGATGGTGGCAACACCCGGAGTCACACGTGTGTAGGGCGGTGGGTGCGTGGGTGCACTTCCATGAGGTTGGCACGAGGCAATCAAACCTTGGTTTTTCTATCGAATATGCTCACGTACCCACCTAGTGCAAAAGGAAATACTTCATTTTGAGAATTACGCGGTCAATATTCAAATTTGTTGTTGGATCCCGCGGATGGTGGCAACACCCGGAGTCACACGTGTGTAGGGCGGTGGGTGCGTGGGTGCACTTCCATGAGGTTGGCATAATGAAACGACACCTCGATTGTTTTATCTACGAAGCTAACATACCCACCTTTTACAAGAAGAATGACTTCATTTGGTACAGAGACACAGAAGAATGACGAGGTCAAATTTCAAGCTTGATGTTGGATCCCGCTCGTGATGGCCAGCAACCACGGGCACGCGTGTGTACGGCCGCGGGTGCATGAATATAAGGTTGGCACGCCACAACTAAACGTAGATTGACTGTTCAACTGCCCACCTATTGCAAAAGTAATTACTTCATCGGGGTAAGAGACACTCAAGCATCACGAGGTAAAACGTCAAAACGCCCATGTGGATCCTACGCATATGATTNGGGCGGTGGGTGCGTGGGTGCACTTCCATGAGGTTGGCATAATGAAACGACACCTCGATTGTTTTATCTACGAAGCTAACATACCCACCTTTTACAAGAAGAATGACTTCATTTGGTACAGAGACACAGAAGAATGACGAGGTCAAATTTCAAGCTTGATGTTGGATCCCGCTCGTGATGGCCAGCAACCACGGGCACGCGTGTGTACGGCCGCGGGTGCATGAATATAAGGTTGGCACGCCACAACTAAACGTAGATTGACTGTTCAACTGCCCACCTATTGCAAAAGTAATTACTTCATCGGGGTAAGAGACACTCAAGCATCACGAGGTAAAACGTCAAAACGCCCATGTGGTTCCTACGCATGTATTGGTAATCATCCGCAGGCACGTTCGTGCGTGGCCGGGTGTAATGCACATCGAAAGCAGGCCCCAACAACGCAACACCCAACATAAGTGTGTGTTGCATCTATCGCACTAGGATTCGATGAAATCGATGTCCAATCTTTCAAGTTCAGTATTTGATCCGTTGTGAATTGCTACTGCCACACGTTTCGTGACATATGTGATTCGGCGTACCCGTTCGTGCTGGCCACACGTCAAAGAATAACGACGTACCCGTTCGTGCTGGCCACACGTCAAAGAATAACACTAGATTTGGACACGTTGATCTGGAAACTGCCACCGACAGTTCGAGGCGGCACCACGAAGAAGAGCACCGCTGCTGTAACAATTTCGTGACCAAGCATTAACCAATTGTCGTTTCCTTTGTTTGTCGATACGCAACCTCGCTTTCAGAGGTGGCTTCATGATGTCGTGCAGTCACGCAACCGCATGGCTAACCGGGACAGAAGATGGTGTGTTGTTCCCCCCTGTGCTGTTGCCCCCGGCGGTGGGGGGGAGTACACACCGCCCGTGTCCCCGCGGCATCCGCCCGTTGGCCAGTAGACGGAGAACCCATCCTCTCCAGCTGCTGCGAGAGGGAACGAAGAGGGAACGCACCGTCGCGAGAACGCCAGTACAGACACCTAGGCGAGCGCCGGGCGCAAGATTCTGGCGCGCGGTTGAAAGGTTCGGGCCGAAGATCAGGGAAGAAGCGTCCGGTGAGGGTTAAGGCCAGACGTTATTTGGTCCTACTACAACCGCAGTTGGAGCAGAAGATTGCAGAGGTGGCAACGAGGAGCAGCAGGCGGTTGGGAGGGCGGAGCCATAGGCCCGCAAGGAACGTGAGATCGCCGAGGCTGAGCGTGCAAAAACGGCGAGCGCTACCCCGGGAGTTCGTTCTCGGCGGCGCGTCAAGATGGGAAGAGACCACGAGCAGTTGCCGATAGTGACAGAAGCAAGAGAAAGAGGAAGCCGCGCGCGAAGGTATGGGTCACCACTACTCCCGGCGAGCCATGTAACCTGTGCCCACGGGGGGAGCAATTGGCAGGAGAGAAACTGTATGCTGCATGTCACAGGTCGGCAGATGAGAAGGGCTTCACGCAAATCGCCAGTCGCAGTTCTACGGCTAGAGATCTCTGCCACGGACTCTGATTTCCAGGGTTGGATTCCCGACGACGACGAGAAGGTACGCCTTTTTGTCCTCGTCTACCTGCTTGCTGGTTGCGACTTCCTGCCTGCCATATCGGGCCTGCCTTTCGGGACCATGTGGGCTCTTACTCTGAAGAGCGTGCGGACGGAGGGTGTGTATCGCACGTCTATCTGCGTGCGCGAGGGTGGGGCATGGGGCGTCAAGATCGACGAGTGCATCAAGTTGTTGGCGACCATATTCTACTTTAACTGTATGCTGCATGTCACAGGTCGGCAGATGAGAAGGGCTTCACGCAAATCGCCAGTCGCAGTTCTACGGCTAGAGATCTCTGCCACGGACTCTGATTTCCAGGGTTGGATTCCTGACGACGACGAGAAGGTACCCCTTTTTGTCCTCGTCTACCTGCTTGCTGGTTGCGACTTCCTGCCTGCCATATCGGGCCTGCCTTTCGGGACCATGTGGGCTCTTACTCTGAAGAGCGTGCGGACGGAGGGTGTGTATCGCACGTCTATCTGCGTGCGCGAGGGTGGGGCATGGGGCGTCAAGATCGACGAGTGCATCAAGTTGTTGGCGACCATATTCTACTTCAAGTATGAAGCTGCCTTTGCTCGTGGTGGGCAGGAGCCCGGCTGGATTTTCCGCACGGACAACGGCGATGTCGCACATTACGTCGACGTCATCCGGATGCTTATCCTCAGGCGTGGTTCAAAGAAGGCTACATCAACGTGCCCTTGTTCGGGTCCATGCGCCAGCAGAGCGAGCGAGGCCATCAGGTGCTTGGGTACTGGCGAGATGGCTGTTTAGAGGTGGTACCAGTGCGAGAGTTCAACGGCAAGGGATGGGGGATCGACCCGTAAGCGGGGGGGACCAGCCCGGAGCACATGACAGCGGAAAATCGCGTGGTATGGCTGTCTGAGTATTCCTACGTTGGCACCGACAACAAGACGCAAACGGAGAAATGTGGTTGCAAACCGGCCCCGGGTAAGAAGAGTCTCGGCGTGAGGTGCGGCTGTCGAAAAGCAGGAAGAAAATGCTAGCTGGCATTGGTGTGCAAGGCCACCTGTGGACTGATTCGCGCGGCGGAACCTGAGGCTCGGATCGCTGCTGTTACATCCAGCGTTCCTGCTGCGTCCACTGTTCCTGCTACACCCTCCATTCCTGCAACATCTGCCATCGTAGCCGGCGCCCTGCGTTCTCTTTTGGCGGTAAGAGCCGTAAGTCAGCAGGCAGCCGCACAAGCAGCCGCTAGGCAGCAGGCAGCCGAGCCGGGTGATTCAACAGGGACCGAAGAACGAGGACGGGGAGGAGGAGGAGGAGGAGGAGCAGCAGGAGGAAAACGAAGGGAGGGATGAAATCCCAGAGTGGGAATCCGATGCGTCCGACTACAGCGATGCCTTCAGTGACTGGGGATCAGACACGTCGGAGGGCGGGCCGGATATAGGGTGGGGAAATGCGGGGGTGGGTCAAAGGTCCATGGGGGGCGACAGGAGCTGACTGGTTCTGAGGGTTCAAGAGTCGCTTTGAGGTGTGTATCTGGTTCCGTGTGTATTCACCAACTTCTCGACCATAACCTGAGGGTGCGGCAGGGATTTGCGTGATTGTGGCCCGATGTCATCGTATGAGAACGTACTACGGCGCGCAGAACGCCGAAGCAAATCCCACCCAGGTGGCCTTAGTCCACATTAACCAATCCCCATGCTTACCGCCTGCGCTTTCCGTTGTTTGCCTTTTCTTCTTTTGCTTGTGTGTGACAAAATGGTGGCAGTGACGACGACAGGTTCCTCCGTGCTAAATAGCGTATGGTGGAGAAGGAGGAGACCTTGGAGAATAGGGTGTGGGGAGGGTGTGCTTGTGCGGGGAAGGGTGGGAACCGCACGAGCTGGATACATAGGTGGCACCGCCACCGTTAGCCCCCTTTGCTGCGATCCTTGCCTTTGTTTCATTCGTGATAGTTCGGCGCTGGGCTCCTGTCGTGTACAAGCGTGTGTGTTGTTGTTGTTGTTGTTGTTGTTGTTGTTTCTCACATTAGCTCTAAAGCCCAAAAAAATGGGGAGCCCGTGGTCTCAAAACCCGGCACATACGACGCCGCGGGAAACAAAAGAACAAAAATAGGGTACAAACCACTCGGAAAAAGAAAACAAAAATGATAGAAGAGAAAAGAACAGATAGCGCACCGACCGTTCGAGAAAAGCGCCCTCGGAAACCGATCAAAATAAAACAAAAACTAAAATAAAGGAGAACGCTTCCCACACCCGCCCAAAGAAAAACCAAAGGGTAACGTACCAGCACCAGGCAC